CTAAAAGGAAACAGCAATCTCTTCCTCTAGTGGGGGCATCGAGCATCTCACTGCCTCATTCACTCATTACCAAATGATTTCCATGTGGATATGTCAGGTTTATGGGAATACAACTGTTACCTGCTGTGACATTCCTTGACTGTCCCGGCTGGAAGAGACTCAGTTTGAGCTTGCCATCCTTAAGAAAGAGGACGAAACTCCCTGAACCACGTTGAAGTTCGCCGAAAAGCAAATGTCCTGCTCTGTTCCACCTTCGAAATTGGAAAGTGACAGACACTTTGTCCTCCCCAGAGTTGCCCGGCAGAGCCAGATAACTCCTGGAGCTCAGAAAAGTCACAGGGACAGTCTGTGGCTGTGGACATGAGAAGGACACATTTCCCTACAAATAAAACAAAAGAGCACATTGAACAGCCTTACAGGTGGTGCTTCTATCTAATTAAAGCCAGATTTTACAAAGACGTACAAGGCTTTTTATCAATCCAGGATTTTATAAATTAGTCTGCCTGCTAAAGCCGAAATCTATGAATGACATTTATCTTCTCTTTCAGCATAAGTATTATTATAATTGGGCAGACGTCCATGTGGCTTTCTGTGTGTATGTGAGAAATTCTCCACTTTTCTACTTCTTCAGCATTAGTAAAGGAGTGTTAGTATAATTTTAGTTCAACAGGAGTTTAATCTGTGCCAACTATTTTCCAGGCCCTGTGCTAGCCCTGAGGATACAGCAAATAACAGGACATTTTCATACTCTCAGTCTTTCTCCTGAGCAACATTTGGTCTTCCCTACACAATCCTCAAAATCTCCTTTGAACCAGCTTCCTATTTTACTAGTCCCCTCATTAGTTAATGAATTGACTAAATCTTTGACACACGCTTATTTGATATTTGCATGGGTCATATTTTTAGCTGTTGGAAAATTATATCTGACAGTCTTTCAAATGGTTTTCAGATCTAATAGTTACATACAATGTTTGCATGTAGTATTTTTAGCATGAAAACATTGATTTTTATATAGTCAATTATGTCTCTATTGTATTTTACAGCTTCTGAGTTTCCAATCTTTGTTAAGAAAGTTTCATACTACCCTAGGTCCTACAATCTCATAGATTTTCTTTAAGATTGTTGTGGTTTGTTTCTCCTCCTCAATTTACATATTCTTAGTGTATATAAGATAGTGATCATGCTTATTTTCTGCCTTATGGACACTTGTTTGTTCCGGCAGAATTTCTGAAATAATCCCTGTTCCACTGAATTGAGCCACATTCCTTATTACTAATAACTATGCACATAAACTGGGATCTTTCTGAGATCTCAACTTTGTTCTTACTTCTCTATTCCTATCCACTACCATACTGATTCTAGCATAGTAGCTTTTAGTATGTTTTAGTATCTGGTAAGTCAACCTCCTACTGGGCTTTTTAATGTTTTTGTTTTGCTTTGTTTGGCTGGTGAAAGGAATAAGCAATTATTGGGCATTATTCACACATAGGAATTTCAGTTCCAGAGAAAAACCCCAGCAATTCTGATTTTACTTGGAATTTCCATGGATTTATTTCTATTACTATATTATATGTGATTTTAGAAAAAGAATGTTACTGGAGCAAGACAGATAATCTAGGGTAGTGGCTCTCAAACCTAGCTAAACAGTTGAATCGCCAGATGCAGATGCAGACCAATTAAAATCCCAATATCTGGGGGTGGATCCAGGTAACGGTATCCTTTGAATCTCCTCTGGTGACTCCAAGATAAAGCCAAGTTTAAGAACCACACTGATCCAGCAGTAAAACAATTTTCAAAACGGAATCATGTTTAAAAAAAATTCTGCCACAACGTACTTTAGAAATGGATCTAATTCAGTTATCATTTTATAATCTTTAATACACATTATAACTGCATACATCAATCAGAACATTTCTTGACTATTTTTGTAATTCTGCTGAATGGGAAATAGTTTCCATTACAAGAAAACATTTGCAGAAGAAAATTTAAAAAGAAAACATTTGCTGTAACGAATTGAATACCAAAAGCTTACGAGTCATTGGCGCTGATCCGTAGTACACATTTAATCACTGGACTATTACATGTTATCTTTTTATCAGCTGCATATTTCTTGCCCTCATCATTTACGC